TTAAATACTAAAATGTAAATTAAGATTAATATGTAGTCAATAAAAATTTATTTAATAGTACATTACAAGCGAGGTGGTAATATAAATTTACTTAGCAAATTACTTAGTACTTTTTCTAGAGTAATCTAGAGCAGGTAATAGAACATAAGTTATTTTTCTAACTGAAATATTAACGAATTATTGTTTTCATTTTTTATTTACCATATTCTCATTATGAGTTAGGTACCTACAAAGCCTTTTTCGAATCAGTGATCTAAACTCATGAAGACATTTTTTTATTTCTCATAATTCTTCTTTCCAAATTCTTTTTAATCATTTTTTAATTTTTAATTATATTATATTCTTTGCTCATTCTGCACTGCACACTATTATGTAATTATTAAATCAAAAGTGTACTGTTTTCTTTAATTTGCGCTCGATTTATCTTTTAAAGTGTTAGTCTGTCAAGTTTGTTGGTTTTATAATTAAAGATTTTTTTTACAAAAGCATAGAAGTGATCTAGAGTAATAAACTTTTACACAAAGTATTTTAATTGGTTTTTTAGAAGTTCGTTATCACAATTTATAAATGTAACACAAATTAGATTCTATTTTTTGTTATTTTTTTATTGTAGAGAAAATTATATTAACACTCCGTATAAATGAAATATCTCTCAAGTAAAGGTCTTAATAACATTCACGCCGAGCGTGTCCAATACATCTCCATAAATTTAATTTCTGCAATGGCAATAAAATTCATGTTATTTGCCAATCCATCAACACCCCATCTGATTTGTATCGACTGTAATTCTTTTAAACAGTTCCTGAATCAGTGATTCGTAAAATTAAAATGAAGATACATTGGATCTCTGTCAAAATTAGATATTGATGCTATTAATCTTAAAACTGAAGGGAGACTCTTATTTCAGCAGCAAACTTCTTGAACATTGTAACTACTTTGTATTGTACAGAAACACTGATTGTCTATAATTACGTTTCTGTTTTAGTGCATTCTTAACTTCTCTAAGTACCTTTAATAAAATTTTATGAAAAAAATTTTTTTTTCAAGTTTGTATGCAGTTAAAGAACTAAACAGGGCCGACAACCAAGCAAAGAGAAAGATGACAGAAGCGGGGCGACTAATCGTATCACACGCTGAACAAATCACGGCCCACTGGATGATTAGTTACGAGTCATTATGCAAATCACCCACTAGCCCCCTATATGGTCTTTTAGTGACTGTAGAAGGGCAGTGTCGGAAATGTCCTAAGGGCAGTGCTTAGAACATATTTTACACGTTTACAGTTTTTATTGGTCAACAGGAAAAGATTTAAATGATAGATTTTTCTCTTACTACATACTAGAGATTGAACATTTATGTTTCAGAATTTGGTAAAATTATACTTAATTAAATTTCAACCTACGTTAATGCATAAACAAGTCTCCATTAAATAAATTGTCACTAATTATATTGAGTTTGGACCGTCAATTATGTTCTATTGAGAGTAAAAATAAATATTTGAATATGTCTTAATAAGGTTTCGAAATGATTCATACAATAATTATGCGAATATAATACTACATTGTGGGCAGATACATGTGTGTAGAATCTGAGACGTAGAGGTTTTCAGCACTGATTATTTGGTGCATTAGAAGCGCACGTTTGCTTCATTAAAACAGTATAACGGTTCGCATCCTGAGGATAAATTAAAGCCTTTTCTGGTTTAAAAAGGGTACAGTTACAACATGAAAGGGGCTGAATATGCACTTCTTTCAGATTCACGTGATATCTTTATTTATGCAGAGAAAGTAAGTGAGCTTTGATTGCTTTGAAGTTGCAATGAAATTTTTATACTCTTTAATGTTGATTCTTTAATTCTATTAAATTTTATTAATGAGAATTAAGTGATAGCAGAAAGGTTTGATCACAGATAGATTTGAAATTGAATTAAAACAATACATTTAAATCTAAAAAAACACAGACCACCCAATTTTGTACTGTATCAAGTTACAAACCAATAAATATATCATTGTTGTTTGGAAGAATAATTGCTTGTCAAACAAATAGACGAAAATCAGAAAATGGATCTCTTGTGTTTTTTTGTGTTGTCTACCATGCGACTGGTTAAAATGTTTTAGAACGAACAGTTTTCGAGATATCGAGCTAACTTGAGTGTAGTCATTGGGCGTAATGCGTCATTCCGCGGAAAGCCTAGTCTTTGGCCGTACTGCCGGCAGACGCTGTAATCAAATGAATATTCCTTTGTTTGACTGAAATTTTACGTCATTTCAGGGATTGCCTACTTAATTCTCGTCAAACAAAGTAACCGGTTCAACCATTACACGTTACAGCGTTTGACGAAAGTGTATTTAGTCATTTGCTGAAAGCTTGAAATTTTATTGTGTAGTATTTCGGGCCGTAACATTTAGTGATTGTTGGACTTTTCTCATTGAAAATGGATAATCATAATAGTTTGTTTTATGACAAATTAAATGAATATGATTTGAAAAACAAAGATGCCAAAAAACCGTGGAATTATGAAGTAATGAAAGAGGTAAAAGACTTCTAACCTCAAAATACACCTTTATTTCARTTGTACATATTTTAGACTGCAAAAGATATTTCTAAAGAATATATTTTTATTTTTGTTTAATTTACCCGAAGGCAAAAAATATATTTTAATCTGTTGTTTAGGTCATGTACTTACCGTTTTTTGTATGATTTTATAATATTATATGTTTACATTATTCCAAATAAACGAAACAAATATTTTGCTACAATAAAAATATTTTAGTTTTTTTTCTTATCTTTTCTTCTACCAAAAATTTACATTTCTACAGAAAGTATCAAACATTTCAAGACTTTTCAGCAAATGACTAAATACACTTTCGTCAAACGCTGTAACATGTAGTGGTATAACCGGTTACTTTGTTTGACGAGAATTAAGTAGGCAATCCCTGAAATGACGTAAAATTTCAGTCAAACAAAGGAATGTTCATTTGATTACAGCGTCTGCCGGCAGTACGGCCAAAGATTAGGCTTTCCGCGGAATGACGCATTTCGCCCAATGACTACGACATATCGACTCTATTCGGGTGCTCTGAAATCATCCGGAGCGCTTTGGAATCGCCGGGAAATTTTCCTACGCAAACCGTTTTCACCTAGGACGATTAGTTATCTTTTTTGATTTTATGAAAAGTCGAAAACTTAATCCGAATTACGACAAAACTAAAAAAGCTATCGTAAATTGAAATATTCTTCGTGCTATTTCTACTGCTATTTTGTCATCTATGAATGTCTTTTCTGCATCAAATAGTAAAGTCCTTTGAATCTAGATTTGTTAGTAGGGTCTAGTTGTAACACATTCTTTTTTTTTTAGACAAAAATCAAATGTTTGTAACGTATTTCACCTCAAAAAGTCAGTTGCGAGGTTGTCAGTGACGACAGAAATGGCATGAGTGTAGGTTAGAAGCTAATTAGTTTAGTTTTTTGAAAACTTGCATTTGGACCCCGAGATCGTCAATTAAACAGCACTCTTGGGACGAAAAAAATAACTTTCTTTCCTTGTTACACAAACAACAAACAACTATTGCTACGTGTCTAAATTTTTGTGAATTTCGGCAAAATTGCGTCATGCGTACGTAATAAAACCTTCGACAAATTGAACCGGAAGTTATTGTTGGTTTAGAAGGTATATCGACAAATAGGTACCGAGCGATCAAAAAAAAAATGTAAAGTAAGCGTCGATTAAATTCTACAGTTGGCAACACATTGGCTGGGAATCTGGGCTGGAAATTTTCCACACAAACTGACAGTGAAAATGACCATTCATCGTTTTCGTCTGGTACAATGATTTGCAACAATAAAAATGTTCTGCTCTAAAGTGAACATTTATTCTCTCAAAATGAATAAAACGCAAACTTGTCAAAGTTTTCGCTGACATTTGATGTCAAATATCATGATTGCCATATGAAGGACTTTAATCACCGCCTACTTTAATTAATTAATTTTTTGATCGCACTGTATAGGTTTTTTGAAAAAAACCTTGTTTCCATTTTGGTAACTGTGCTTCGCTAGGCGACGATCTTTTTTTTATACGATGGAAAAAGAAAAGTACTTTCCACCGATACCAGACATGGAGATAAGGAATTAAAAAGACTAATAGCTCCGGAATCGACCAAAACTTCAGAATCAGACCAAATGATGTTTTTTGCACTCTTAGGGGTCCTAATGACTTGGAATAAATGGATGTTGGTCGAGCTTGAAAAAAATCAAATTCTTTGTCTTGTGATATTCCTGTTTCATTCATGATTGAATTTTTTGGATGTTTTGCAGCTTCGATAGTACCTACTTGCTATTTAAATGTGGAAATCCATTACCGATAAAATTATTTAAATTTTACTTCACGAATAAGATATGTTCGTATTATCTAATAAGGAAAATAAGAGGAATTTGCATAATAAATATACATTACATTTATAGTATATCTATACCGCAACTTTAACTACTATCGTCTTTTTGGTATCTTAATATACAAATAAAATGAAAAAAAAAATATGTTTCATTTTTTATTAAACGGTTTTCATGCTTATTCATACTAGTAAAAAAATAATTTTTGATAATAATTTAATAGGACCTGATCGACCTGACTAAACAAATAACAAATGTTTCATAGCAGTAATATTAGATGCGATGTCTAAGTTAATTTATGTAAGAGAAGAAGGATTTGATCTAAAGAAAATGATAAATGACGGTCACGATGATGATGAAGCGATTATATTTTTTTTCAGCTAGCCGCGAGTCAGCATTTGCACACGCTCTAGCTTCAGCTGGCGTCTCTTATTCCGTTTCGAGAGCTTGCCGAGATGGTCAACTCGCGTCATGTGGATGCTCAAGAATGGGACGACCGAAGGATTTGCGGAAGGACTGGGTGTGGGGTGGATGCGGCGACAATTTGGAGTATGGCTACAAGTAAGTATTTTTATAAAAGAAAATATCTTTGTAAGATTTAAGTAGAATCTTGGTTAAAAGCATGTAGAAGTATGTTGTAATGTAAATCCTTCAGTACCTGCACCACTGTTGTCTGTTCTCCAGCACTCCACCGGCAATAATTCATAATCGAATAAAAGTCTCAGACCTTCTAGAAAATCTCTTTTCAGCTGGCTCGCGATTCGCCACGGTTGAAGCGCCCTGTATAATAAATGTCATGACCACCCTAGACGATCTGTCATCCCAAAGCCGCGTCGAATTTGTAATCCCCCGGTTGCATGCGATCTCAAACATAGGATAATGCATCCGGAATACAGATGATTATAGACACCGTCCTCGTCAGATGCTTTTATGACGTCGATTATCCTCATAAATCGTGCCCTCTAACTCGTTTTTTACTTGTTTAACGAACCGATGGCACGTTTGTTTCAGATTCACACAAAACTTTGTCGACGTCAGAGAGAAGGAACGGAAGTTCAAGAGAGGATCCAAAGAACAAGGACGCAATCTTATGAATCTGCACAATAACGAAGCTGGAAGAAGAGTAAGTCATAAATCTTCAATTAAACTAATGTAATATAACGCGGTAAAAATACGTTTTTGATCTTTTTTTCCAAACCTGCGGATTGATGAGCTTCCAGTTCAATTTGGTGGTGAAATGCATAATAAAGTCGTTTAAGGTCTTTCTAACTCGTTTGCATTTTGATTGCATTTTCGTTTTGGTGGTTGCGTGATAATTTGTTCTTTATTTATATTGAAGGCTGCTAATAAATGCCACTTCATTAATACAGATACATTACATACATTCTAATAATTCTCGGTTAAAATATGGTAAAAACTCATCTCCATGCAATAAAACTACAATGTTATTCTGATGCTAGATACTTAGGCACTTGAAAATTAATAGTCTTTTCGTCTTGGATCATTCTATGCAATGTAGATGTGGTGTACGAATGTCAATACATTACAAATTTTATTATCTTCTTCCACATCATTACTTACAAATGCATGAAGTTGTAAAGCCGTTTGCTGTTATTTTCTATTATGAAATATTTACATACATACGTTGCTACTGATTGCAACAGAACACCCAGATGGTGAATTTTTGTAGTAAAAACACTTTGTATAAATCATACCCCTAATACATTTTTCAACTTATTATTGTCAAGTCACGCTGATCGTAAAAATGAAAATTGATATTTTATTCACGGTGTTCTGTCTAAACCCCACATTAGAAGTATTAGGAGTTCGAATAATCATATTTATTTGAAAATTGGTATATAGCCATAATCCAGTCCTCCTAAATGAAAATATTTTCAAGATGACGGCATTTTCGGTTATACCGGTCTCATTATTTTAAATGGAAAGCTATATTTTTATTGCGTTTTTGGATTAATCGAGTTATTTTATTAGCTTTTCCTATACCTAAATTTAGCCTTTTTTGAAATATTTGGAGTTTTTCAAAAATTTTTGGATCTGCACCTTTCAGTTTAAAAATCGGTAACTCTGCCATTCTTTAAAATTTTGGATTTGTTTTTTTGGCGTTTGAAAGAGAAGGCTTAGATTTAAATTTTAAGGTTACTTCTGTAATAATTTAAATATCCATAACTCAATTTTTCCAAATAAAATACCCCAATTTTCATTTTACTAAATGGAACAGAATTTAGTTCTGCATTTAGTACTAACATTCCCTATACCTAAATTTAATAATTCTCAAGTTATGGTGACTTTTTGTTAAGACTGTGTTTCCGCATAGTTTGCTATGGAAATAAATAATGTCAAAATTGTTTCTCAATAAATGTCGACAGTGAATTATTATTTGACAAATAGTGCCAAATACGGAGAATCAAATCAACTCAAACTTAGATTTAATGAATTTATTTTGTATTTATGGAGAGTGTAACAAAATTATGATGATGTAGTTCATTAAACAAATAAAAATAATAAATAATACTGGCTTCTTGATAATTAATAAGGATAACTAATATCATGCGATCACTTGAATTGATAATTATAGTAAACTTTATTAGGTTTTTTAATTTGTATGAAAACGGTGATTATCATAGTTAATCAAGTTGAACAGTCAAATAATAAGATTTCGAACGGCAGTATTCAGTTAGAATACATTTTTTCCTTCAGTTTGCACTAGTTTGTCATTCATAAAGAAAAAAAACGCCTACTTTTATTATAAATTTAAATGATCGCTTGGTAGAACCTGTCAATTAAGTTAGAGTAACTTTGATTCTCCATATTTTGGCACTATTTGTCAAATAGTAATTTACTGTTGACGTTCGTTTAGAGAAAATTTTGACATTTTTGATTTCCATAGCAAACAAAAAGTCACCATAACTTGAAAATTATTAATTGTAGGTATAAGGAATGTTAATACAGATAGATGCAGAATTAAATTCTCTTTCATTTAGTAAAATAAAAATTGAGGTAGTTCACTTAGAAAAATTGAGTTATGGGTATTGAATTATTACAAAAGTAACTTTAAAATTTTAGAGTTTGTTAATTTTCTCTTTAAAATTTGAAAACACTAGAAGAAAGATTCTAAGCCTTCTCTTTCAAACGCCAAAAAAAAACGAATCCAAAACTTTAAAAAATGGCAGAGTTACCGATTTTTAAAGTGGAAGGTGTAGATCCAAAAATTTTTGAAAAACTCCAAATATGTATTTTAAAAACGGCTAAATTTAGGTATAGGGAAAGCTGATGAAAACTCTCTTAAAATAACCCGATCAATCCAGAAACCCAGTAAAAAATATACCTTTCTATTTAAAATAAGAAAGTTGAGATCAACTTCTAGTATAACCGAAAGTGCCGTCATCTTGAAAATATTTTCATTTAAGAGGACTTAATGGATTATGGCTATGTACCAATTTTCAAATAAATACGATTATTCGAACTTTCAATACTTCTAATGTGAGGTTTAGACGGAACACTCTGTATAATAAGTTTAGTTTCATTTATCACGTACCTAAATTGTCATAATTTTGTCAAACTTTTGCATGTATGAAGTATAAAGTAAAAATTTTCTCACTGGGTGGCTTGGAATAAGAGGCCTTCTATTAATCAAAGAAAATTAAAGCATTAAAAAAATTGATTAGGTATCTCACAAAGGTGATGTCTATTAATAATCTAGAACTAATTCCTTTGAAAAAACAGAGCGTTTCAAATCGGTTTTTGATGCTGTGTCTGAATTTGTGTCATATTTGCGTAGTCCTTCATTAATATTAAATTTATTCAACATCTTTAATTAAATTACTTTAAAACAAATTACATTAAACAGATATCTAATTTTTTTGTAGTTTATAGAGAATAAATTTTTGTTTCAAAATGGATGAACAATCTGAACATCATTTTTTAATAAAATTGTGATTCGTTCCATCATGAAAAGTGTTTTATAACATTAATATTTCTTTTTAAATTAATTTTTAAGTAATTTAATAAGTATTTACATAAACTTTCACAAAAGAATTTTTCTGTGTGACTAAACAGTCGCTTTAAATACAAAAAGTGAGTATAATTTATTGCTGCGCCATTTAAGAATTGGCCAATAAGAAGAATAAGTATAATTTTCGTAGGACAATTGTTGATTTGAAGCATCTCCTCTTCATAGTTTTCTATGGAGGTTTACTACTCTCCGGTCAGAGTTATCGAGTGGTAATTATTTATCGCATCTGCAGATGTTATCTTGGAGTTTTATTTGCTGACGTGCTGTGTAAATTTATCTTATTGCACCCTCCCTAATTATAAAGACGCGACTTGTTTGCGTTTGCACAGTTTTAAAAAAGATTCGTGGGACGTAAAATATGCGACTGTAATGGTGAATAATGACTTTATTAAATGATGAGGAAGGCAACATGACCATTATTGTTGGTACTTGGTCTAGGAGTTATCCTTCCTGCTACATGTTTTTAGTTTACTCGAATACTAAAGAAAATATGTGCAGATACTTAATATTTTTATGAATGTTTTATTTCAGGCCGTCATCAAGAAGTCGAAAGTTACTTGTAAATGTCACGGAGTGTCAGGTTCTTGTTCTTTGATAACTTGCTGGCAGCAACTCGCCACGTTTAGAGAAATCGGTAAGTAACTACCTACTACATCGTTTTTATTTATATTTTCGAATTTTTTAAATACCACTGTAGCGGATAGCGAGTTTTTTTATTTCTTTATTTGATTTCAAGAACTGTGGTCTTGGAAAACAATTATGTTCTTAAACAAAACATAAGTATCTCAGCATTACTAAAATTTATTTATCTGCAAACGTCACAAAAGTGACCACTTTTATTACTAAATGTCACAAGTAAAAGTTTGTGACTTTTTATGGATCAATGTAAGTACAAATTTGTAATTTTTTAGTTCTAAAAATAGTTAAATTAAAAATATGAAATGAAAAATAAGTATTTGGCGAATAAGTGTACCTAATATATAAAGTTTAATTAAAACTACGTAGGAAATTATTACATAAATTCTCATTTCTGCAATATAATTTATATTTAAACTTAAAAAAATACGCTGAAAACGTGGTCGAGTTATGTAGCTTACGTGGCAGTTTCACCTTTTGAATTATAAGGTTTCTTGTTGATATCATAACTTGAAATAAATTTTCGAAATGAATTATACCAACAATGCATAAAAATAATGAGTGTGGCTTTTATTGTTTATATGAGATTTGCAAATATGGTCAGTTTATGTTTATACAGAAAACATTAATTGCTTAAAGTGTGACATCTATGGATTATACAATAATACTACAACCCTTTTAACGGGTTCCTTGACTATTATCGTTCTTTAATTAAGAACAAATAAATTCAAATGAATAACAACGCAACTATTTAAAATTCTTAACTTTTTTCCGAATCGGGAAATTCAAGATATCCATTTTCAGTGCTGTTATCAAAGTCTGAAATCTTGTCTGGCGGTTTTACACGATTTTTATCCAGATTGCCTTTTATAGGCCATTTTATGGCATACTCAGATAGCAATAAAGTCGGAGGTGACAGGTGGATTTCCGTATTGTGTGAGCTTTGTGTTGTCGTCTCTGTGCTTTCTTGTCTCGTACATTCATGTAGATTTGGGCGGCTGACTGTGGACAGGTCAAAGGTTACAGGTTGTAGGTCTGTTACAAGTACCTATGCTTCGAGCTCAGGCCGTAAATAATTACATATTCCTTTTTAGAGACTTCTTCGTGCTAGCTTATTGTGTGGAATGGTATTAAATTAAATTTAAATAACTATTTCCAATCGGAGGTAATATATGACAAAGAGACATGAATTCAAAGGGGCGTTCTCCCATGTGTAAATCATTTTGCTACAGAAGTGTTTTGTGCAAGGGACCTTTGGGTTTTAGTCATGGTATTGTGCTATTGATTGGAAATGGCAATTATTGATTTGGTTTAAATATGCGTTTCATAATCCCATATCTAATCCATTAATGACAGATTGTTCTTTAATTTTTATATTCTATGGGCTTATTTATATTTTGGAGCGGATTTTAATTTATTACATAAAAATAATCCAATCCATTATTAAAATAACGGTTTGTTGTGATAGGTAAAACTGAAGGATTTTGAAGTTAGTGTATGTCAAAGTAATTTAGATATTGAGTTTTTTACTAAAGCAACATTATTTTTGTATCATATTTTATATTTCTATATTTCTCAAAGGACATTTTTGACTCCTACAAGCAGGGTGACTTTTTAAAAACTAGCCACTCTCAAAAAAATAAAATCAGAAAATCCAGAGACAGAACAATTTTTATTTACATGGGGACACTTTTCAGTGTAATTTGTAGTAATTACTTCTTTGGTAATACAGACAACCCTTTCAAAATTTTAAAGAGCACCACCCTCTTTGTGAGTTTCGATTGTTTTTATAAGGTTACATGGTATTCAATTACTGGTAATACTACTGTAGTAACAACAAAGGTGAAGGTTTATTTTTAAACTAAAATTAAACTGACATTTTCTGTTACGAAAATACGGCATTCCAGAAACAAGTACTCGTGAAAAAAGTCTACTCGTGACTTCGTCACTCGTAAACATAACCTTTTCACTCGTAGATAAACAATTTCTTTATTGCCTTGTATAATGTAGAATTGTAATATACTGTACACTTGACACGAAAATAAATACAACAACTGAACTTTTTTCAAAACATTTAAAAACTCAAAAAATTTTCAAGGAAAAATTGAAATAAAATATTGAAATAGAGGGACAAGCTTTTCTCTAGCACCTCTATCTCTTGGAAGAAATAGATTTTAAATAATTTTTGATGATTTTAGAAAAGCAGTGACTGATGTGAGTTTTTCTAATTTAAAAAAAAAAATGCGCTTGAGAAAAAAACATTTAGAGAGATCTATGTTATTGTACTTAAAGTAAAAGTGTTTTGATATCTCTTTTTTATTATTAATTTATAAAATTGACAGTCTAGAAGGAAAAGAATGTAAGTCGTTACCCATTTGATAAGATATTGATTTTATTCTACAAATTTTTTGCAAAAGTCTGTAATGGATTCTAAATTAAAATACCATACCAACCAACTACTAGTAGATTATACAAAAAAGTGAAAAATGATATTCAATTTTTTAAAAATTTTCAGATGCTATCAGTAAAATACGGGTGATTCAGATAAGATAATGAGCCTGACGATCTGGCGATGCAACCCAAAAAACAAATTTCATTTACGCCTTTGATCCAATTTCAATTAGGATTTGCAAGTTGAATCCAAGTTATCATCTTGGTGTCACTCTGACACATAGCTCTGACATTAGTGCAGAGAACGATTATTAGTGCCATTCAGTTCTCGCGGAATGCTAGAGAAATTAGAGAAGTCTTTTCGGTGTAAACCCAATACAAAATGTATGAAACAATGAAACATTAAAGGTAGGCAAACAGTTTTTTTAAAAATCATAAATTGCATGTCAAAGCACTATCAGAGCAACATAAGATAACTTGGCTTGCAAATGCAAATCGTAATTAAAATTAGATCAAAACGTAAATGAAATCTGTTTTTTGGGTTGCATTGCCAGATCGTCAGGCTCATTATCTTATCTGAATCGCCCTGTATATCTCAAGGGTATTAAGAACGATAGGGATTTGAAGTTTGAAAAGCATACAATTTTGGAGGATTTTATTAGTGCAATAAAGTTAAAAGTCCCCAATTTTTAAAAAACAATAATTGGTTATACAGGGTTATTCACGGCAGGGTTATTTCTGATTTTTTTTTTGCCGCAACCAACAATACTAATCTCACAAACTACTAAATGTTATTTCTTTAAAATTACAAATCAAAGTAAGTTGGATAAATTTGCCAGAAATGTCAGATTGACAGATAACCTATATTTAGTCAAAATTCAACATATAAATTAACAAGTTAAGTTAATATAAAAGGTGTTTGAAGCGTCTACCATCGACTTCTAAACATCCGCCTAGTCGGTTGGTAAACATAACAAAACATGTCGCATCGTTTGAGAGATAATTTTTTTACTATAATGTCAAGAGATAAGACTAATAACAGCTATCGTGGATTTAGTTATAATTATTTTCAAAATTTGAAATCAAGAAGTTGTTGCAATATGTATAATGGGTTGCGGCAAAAACAAATTCAGAAATAACCCTCTCGTTACTAACCTTGTATTTGTCATTGTAGGTTGTTATAATAAAAATTTCTCGTTCAAACATTTTAAGTGTAAATTTGTATTTTATAGTAGTAGAACATTATAAAACTATATTTTTTGGTGATGTCATGAGTAGTCATATTTTGAACATTTGACAAAAAAATACGTAAAAAGAAATTTAATAATCGCTATTATTGTATATGTATATGTTGTTTGTTTATTGTATATTGTATATGTTTATTTAAATTTGTACACGAACAATCTGCTATCAACAGCACCGTAAAAACTTTGAAAATGAATTTAACACAGTCACTAATTAATTGCAAAGACGACTTAGTTAGCACAAAGCACTCAAGTTATTTTTTTTTATTAAATATCAGCAGGTGTTTGTACAACTGTATAGTGGAATCCAAACACTTGGATGTTCTCAGAAGGTTATGATGCAATGCGTAGGCAGGTCAGTGCTTACATATTTACGATTCAAATTTTTGAAATAATCGTAACAACTGATTTGCATAATTCGTTATTCAAAATAAATAATTTGATAAAAAAAAGTGAACCATGAAGAAAACGAAAATGGAGTGGGCAGCGACTAATTTTAAGGCAGTGGTAATTAAGCATCCATTAAGACTTACGAAAGGCATTTGTTACAGTCCAATTTGAAATAAAAAATATAAATAGTCTGCCTACATGTTACCTTCCGAAGTGGTAAACTGTGTTTACACACGGAGCAATCGGTAAATCAATTACAAAATTTATTATGTCAACTATTACCAATATGAGCTTCGTTAAGGAGCTTTCACTCGTAAAAATGTCCGTTTCATTAAAAGCGTATCTTGATGAAATTTTTTTAAGGTGTCATAATATCGTTTTAACCCGGAATATAATTTTACCGAGATTTTATCAGGGAAAAATTCTTTTATAATTATTGCCTGCGTCGCCCTTCCATTATTGTGTGTGAAAGTGATAATTTAGTTGACGACATCATTGAATTTAATGATAGTAAATCAGAAATTAAGATGGGGACAAATAGAAGCATTGTTAGGATGCAAAATGCAAGAAAATCGCCTACGTGTGAGGTCTTTACGAATATATTACAAAGGCAGTTTATCAAAGCAATCGGCCATGTAAAATATACAACATCTTTATTTAATTTGAATAAAGCGACCGATCAGGTTACTTGTACGATAATCTAAGATGGCATTGTGGTCGTTGTTACAGTCATTTTCCAAGTTAAAGAAATGCCAGACGGAAAAATGTGCAATCAGATTCACTGATAGGTAATCGCCTCATATTATACGAAAATCTCATGAGAAAAATGTTTGCTTGATTTTTTTAAATTAATTCGCATTCCTTGGGTCCAAGGTTTTGAAATTTTTGCTTTGTAAAAATTTCAAATATACGAGTATAGCATTTTAATAATCTAATAAAATTTGTTTACAAAATGTCTCACGAAAAAATTCAAATCAGTGATAAATACTTGAGGTACCAGTGCTTCCATCATTAGTAATATCACAAACTCGGCTTTCCAGCGGGCACGTTCGTCCGTTTTCAGATGGGATGGAGAGAAGAGCCGATGGTCGGCAGTTGTCGGTTTTCCGGCATTAGGATGGGTCGATGGAGAGTTGACGAAAATTGATAAATCGTTTGCTCAAATTATTAAGAATTTTGACTATGAGTTATCACTTATCGCATTTGACTTGTTTTGAAAGGAATAAAATAATATTTGAAACGTCTCTTTAAAATTAAAAATTGATCTGATTCATGGTTGTGATGTCCAAAGTCACCGTTTCACAAAATAATTAATTTAATGTTTCATTTACTAATAAATTTATTAATTAATGTTGAAGTTAAGGGTTGTTTACTATTTATCAACAGTAAAGGATTTCATGTGATTTTAGTGACATTTTTTACAGAAATCGAGTTCAGCCGTGTCCGCAGTGTTTTAATTCAGAAATAACATAATACTAATTACATTGTTATTTACTTTGCCTTATTGTCAAATGTGAAATTAATTGCGAATTAAATTTGGGGCGGTTATTATCGTAGGTATAGCCGATTACAATACTTTCCGTATAGGATAAGGAAAGTAAACACACTGTCCTATTTATTTATGTCCCCTAATATACAGGGGTAGATAATATAATCGCGTACACTGTAAAAATGAAGTAACACATTTTTTCAATATGAAAATTTATCTTTTTTGCAGTTTCAAATTTTTTTTAGAAAAGAGGTTATACTCCCTTCTTGTTTCCATTTCTTCTTCACTCTTAAAATTGTGGTTTTGTTTGAATTTTATTAGTTTGCATTTGCAACTGCTTTTATGCCATAGCTCTCTTCCAGGTTAGACAGTATAAGAATTTTTTTGTTTTGAGTAAGTTTTAACATTGACAAGGTTTATGTCATGCTAATACTCACTTAATCCAACAAAAAAATGGTCTACGTGATTTTCTTGTCCGCCAGTGTACGACAAAGTTAAATTCGGGGTTAAATTTTATGGTCTCAAACTCGATCATAGGGAAATAATGTTAAACGCGATTTTTAAGTATTTTGTCAATTTTTTTGATAATAAAATAAACATGTATCTAAGTAATCAACAATTTAATTGGTTCTTATTAAAAACAACAAAAGTACTAAGTAATAAAGAAGGTTAAATACTTTTCGACCTCTATTTTGACCATATAGAAGCCCTTATTTCTGTATGCATTTTTAATTCATTTTTACTTAACTCCAAATAAACTGTAATAAAACTTTGACTTTTTTGACAACAAGTACCGCATACTTATTTCACGTGTTGATAAATTTGTCAATTGTATTTGAACGTAAAAATACTATTTTTATTCTTATTTTTTGTTTTTCATTTGACCATCATTTAGTACCATCACTTTACTTGTAGTTGTATTGGCGAGCGGAAATCAGCAAAAATATGCAGGGTGCGCCAGAACTCGCACCCCAGAGAAAAATTTCAAGTAAGATAAGATACCAGGAACATGAAAAAAATATTTAAGAAATTCTATCTGTCAAATTTTTTTTTATTTTTTGACATATGACATTCTTTATGTCTATTTAATGATATGTATATGTTTTTTATAATTATTTCGTAAAGGTACAAAAAATGTTGTCAATAAAAGCTATAAATAACGTTAAACAGAGTTACAATGTAGGATACAGCTTCCTTGTTTCCTCTTCTAATAGCCTGTAGCAAAAAAACTTGGAAAATTATTTTTCCAACAGAAATAAATAGGGTCAAAGTGCAAAATTTAAACTCTCATAACTTCGAAATTTTTATAGATAGAATTTTTTTAACATTTTTTCCATGTTCCTGGTATCTCACCTTACATGACATTTTTCTCTGGGGCGCGAGTTCTGGCGCAGCCTGTATAATATCATGTTAAATCCCTATGTTTGTGATTGAGACCGAACACCCGGTATATTACTTTGACTCAATTTATCTCATAGACACAATTATAGCCAAGTAGAACTGGACAAAAAACGATGGAACCTGGTGTATTTATAGTTATTTACTTTATTTCACTAGACGATGAAAGACTACTTTACCTACTGAAATTAGTTGATAAAACATAAACAACAGATAAAAATTACTTTATTTCACTAGACGATAAAAGACTATTTTATCTACTGAAATTAGTTGATAAAAGCACTCTTTAACATTGAGTACAAAATAAACTAATTTTATTAAATGTTATAAATGAAGGAAGTAATTACAATTTTTGTAAAGTCGAATATCAAATATCCCTAAAACAAATATTTGTAAAGTTAATAAATTCATAGCCCTTTTGGTAGTGGTGTAATTAAGGGGTGTGAATAACTTTGGAATCTGCATAATCGTTTGTTATGACAATAGTAATTAACATGAATGCATTACCATAACAGAATAAAAAACCCGACTTGAATAGATCTATAAATAAAGTCCCTTAATTTTTACTGCTCTGAGTGGTTTGATAAAATTACTAAGCATTACCATACAATACATAATCAACTGTAAGACTTTGAGCGTCCACGTGAAAGTGCTCTTATTGAGAAATATAAAATAGATGTTTGGTTTTTTGAGGGTTTGCGATGGGGGGCACCAGTAAATCATTTCAGAGTGTTGCATTGTGTGTAAACATCCATTTACAACATGTAGTAATTTAATTGCACGTCTTTGAACAAATGTTGGCACTTAGCGTTTAATGTGTGGCTTTTGTTGAACACCGAGTGTGGCCCTCGTGAATGATAAGATGTCCACCCTGAGAAATAACTGTAATTTTCATAATTATTAATCACGATTTGTAGCAAGAACGACGCCCTGTAATTTTACTGACATATCTGGCTTTATGATGCCTACATTTATCGTATAAATTACAACGCGCTGAATTATTACATGCTTTTGGTATTAGTGGTCGCAATTATGATAATTTTATTACAAGAACGAAAAACTTAATTCGTTTCGAAAGAACTCAATTATTTGCGTTGATATGATTTAACGTGCGCATCCTATATTTATCTCGAGAAGTCAACCTGACTACTGTGTATAAATAACAATTATTTTTTGTTAGATACTCCAAGATGATGACAAAATTACATGATTCTTCATATTCTTCTTTTCAATTAGATTTCTGAAATCAAATTGACCATTTTCAATAATGTGAGATAGAAGATATGAAAATTCACTGTTGCCAAAATTACAGAAAATTAATTGAACGCATTTTTTGAACATTTTTCCAGGCGATTATTTGCGAGACAAATACGACGGGGCCACCGAGGTGCGCATAAACCGGCGCGGGCGTCTGCAGCTCCGCGACACCCGCTTCCGAGTGCCCACCGCCTACGACCTCGTCTACATGGAGGATTCCCCGAATTACTGCATCCGCGACGAACGTGTGGGCTCCCTGGGCACCCAGGGCCGGACTTGCAACAGGACATCTCAGGATCTCGACGGCTGCAATCTTTTGTGCTGCGGTCGGGGTTACAACACCCTCAAATCGACGATAAAAGAGCGGTGCCACTGCAAGTTCAAGTGGTGCTGTGAAGTCGAGTGCAAGACGTGTGTGCGATCGGTGGACGTGCACACGTGCAAGTGATTTGTACATACATACAAAGAAAAACGGCAATTGTGAGTGTTTGTGGTTTTTGTCTATGCCTAGACATACGTAGTGGACGTTGACAGTGACTTGCTTTCAAATGAGTCGTATTATTTTGTCTTAAAGAACAACGATTCCAAGTTATTAATTTATTTGTTGATTTTTATTTCTTTGGTTGTATTTAGGCACACGTGTTTTTGTTGTAAAATAATTTTTAGTATTTCTACGTTCAGTATTCGTCTTTTTACGCTTTATTTATTTATTAAAACATTGTATGTACAGAGCGAGTTCGTTAGAAATCGCTTTTTTGACTGTTTTAATTTTAAAGAAAAAACTTTGGTGGGTAGGTTTTATAGGTTGAGAGTAATTCCATGCTAAAACGATTAAGTACTTTTAAAACTCATTGTTTCTGATTTTCGTAAATTTGAGATATGTTATAGAACGTGTAAAAATAACTGACACGTATTTCACCGTTTTTAATTTTTTCAATGTATGTTGGAAGAATAGGGATGTACAAAATTAAGTAGCAAAAAGAATTTTTATCCAAAGAACAAATCAACATATTGAAACAATTTTTTTTTAATAATAGATATAAATAGGAACACTACGGACGTTTCAAAATGGACGTTTTAAAAATGGCTGAAAAAAATTTTTTTTGAGAGCGCTGCATAGAGCATGATCTCTTAAGATCGCCTGAAAGTAGCGTTTCCTTGGAAATTAAATAGAAAAATTACCAATCACCGTCACTAATAAACTGTTCTAAAGAAAACACATAATTTCCAATAACTTATTAACATTTATTTTTGAATAAATATCAATAAAAAACAAATCCTTCGCTGTCAGCATTAAACAATAATTAATTCTAGACTAATTCTTTTCTTATCCTTACACTACACCGTTATTGGAATAAAAGTATGTAGATTTCGCGTACTCTTTATGGGCTTCTCTCGACTAAAACGATCACAATGTTTTTCAAATTGTTTATTAGATATACAGGGTGAGCCAGAACTCGCGCCCCAGAGAAAAATTTCAAGTAAAATAAGATACCAGGAACATGGAAAAAATGTTTAAAAAATTCTATCTGTCAAAAAATTTTGACATATATTTTTTGACATTTGAAATTTTCATGGCTGTTTAATGATACTGATGATCTTGTATATGTTTTTTTTTGACAATTATTTACTAAAGGTACAAAAATTTTGCTAATAAAAGCCACAAATAACATTGAATAAAGTTACAATTTGGGACACAGCTTCTTTCTTTCCTCTTCTAATAGACTGTAGCAAAGAAACTTGGAAAATTATTTTTCCAATAGAAATAAATAGCGTCAAAGTGCAAAATTTAAACTCTCATAACTTCGAAATTTTTATAGATAAAATTTTTTTAAAATTTTTTCCGTGTTTCTGGCATCTTACCTTATATCGCATTTTTCTGGCGCATCCTGTATAGCCAAACGTAATATGTGAAATATTTGTGATTGTATCCAATAGTTTAAAACACAATACAGTAGCCGTTCACCTGCTTCAGGAACAAATGGTAGAGTTTTTGAAAACCCAATATGCAGCCGTCAATAAAATATTATATTTTTCTGACGGCGCTGCGTCACAATAAAAAAATAGAAAAAATTTCTATAATTTGACTTACCATCAAAGAGATTTTAACGTTCAGGCTGATTTGCTACGGCTCATGGGAAAGGATTTCGATGGAGTTGGAAAAACTATTACAAGATTAGCCTCTCGTGCTAGTTTACAAAAAGTGCATGAAGATTATATAACTACTCCACTAGAGTTATTTAAATGGGCAGTTTCAAATATTTCACATATTACGTTTTACTAGGTAAGGTTCACGAGGTATAATGAGCCTGACTAAATTCTCCAACATTACATTTGTCACAAAGCAACTTGCGGAAATGTAGGTAATGGTGCATCGAGAATTTGGTCAGGCTACGGAGAACTTTAGGTAATCGTCATGGAGGTAGTATTTATACTAGGACCATGGTATCCGTAGGTCAGGCTCATTATTCCTCGTGAATCACTCTGTATCTAATAGACAATTTGAAAAACATTGCGATTTTGCGATGATCGTTTTAGTCGAGCGAAGCCCATCATAAAAGGTTCGCGAAATCTACATACTTTTATTCCAGTATCAGAAAATAAAATAAAATGTAGAGTACTCTTCCTCAACCGAAGAATTTGTTTTTTATTATTGATATTTTTTGAAAAATAAATGTTAATAAGTTATTGGAAATTGTTTTTTTTTGGAACAGCTTAATTGGTAATTTTTCTATTTAATTTCCAAGGAAACGCTACTTTCAGGCGATCTTAGGAGATCATGTAGTGCCCTCAAAAAAAATTTTTTTCAGCCATTTTTAAAACGTCCGTCTTGAAATTTATATGAAGACATAGTTAAAATATGAGAGTTTTTACATATTTTTTTTTGAGAATTTAAAAAACCTGCGTAATTGTTTATTTTTTTGTTTAAACAATATATTTTTAAATTATTTGTTAATAACTAATTTTTAGAAAACATGTATTATTACGTCCGTAGTGTACCTATTTATATCTATTATTTAAAAAAAAATCGTTTCAATATGTTGATTTGTTCTTTATATAAAAATTCTTTTTGATACGAGGTACTTAATTTTGTACATCCCTGTTTTTTCAACATACTTACATTGAAATACTAAAAAACGGTGAAATAAATACGTGTCTCTTATTTTTACACGTTCTATAACAGATCTCAAATTTACAAAAATCAGAAACAATGAGTTTTAAAAGTGATCGTTTTGGCATGGAATTACTCTTTTCTTATATAAATTTTAATAGGTACCTACAAACAACCATTTAAAGAAGCGACATCTAATTATACTCCTTAGATATTTTTCTATGTATACAGGTAGTACTTAGGTTTATCTACAGGGTGATTCTTAAATATACCGACAAAATTGTATCACAGCTTCCTAAGGATAAATGGAAACAAACTGTACCATTTTTACGTTTATACCTTTTAGGGGCAAAACCCCCTTGATCCGTGCCACTTACGGCGTTTATGAATTGTTGCAATGATCAAGTACGTTAATACCATGGTTTCCACTATCTGTGCGAAAACATCAGTGGCGTACGTTTTACTTCGAAAATAACTTTAATAAATTTTATTTGAAGAACGTTTAAACAAAGAATTTTTTAAATATTTTTTCCAGCATGTTCTTATTTTCTACTACCAAGGATAAAATTTTGTCGGTCTATTTAAGAATCACGCTGTATAGGTTTATCTATATTTTTACATTTATGATTTTGCATTAAAAAAGTATTCTTTTAAGTGTTTATGAGAAAATGACCAATCTTTGTTCACTTTTTTGTTTTCTGTTTGCTTGTTTATTTATAATCAGAGAAGACTGGTGTAAATAATTGCTCCTTTAAAATTGTGTGAATTATGCAAAATAAATATTTTACAATTGATTCATTTTTTTATTCTTCGACACTGTCAAAATTTACGGTTTTTCTCCCGTGTAAGGAAGTTTTGACAACTGTTTGGCATTTCTCAATACGAAACGTCAGATTATTTTTAACAGATTTAAAGCAAGTTTAAGCTTTATTGAGTCTAATTCGAAGAATAAAATGTTGTATTCAACTCGTTTGAGTGTAAATCGGACGCTTTATTTCACCTCGTGGATGATAAACCACGAGTGTAACGATTATCTCACCGAGTGAATCACCCACTCGGTGAGATAATCCGTCCGATTTACACTCAAACTCGTCGAATAAATAACTATTACTTATCTGTAGCAAATCTGGATTTTCTTTCAAAGGGACTGACATGTTTACTGAGAGGTTTTGAATACTAAGAAAGAGAAGGTTGTTCTCATGTGTTTTTAAATTTAATAAAGTAACAACGACACTTGCTAAAATTGCTCTACGTATAATTGATTAATTTATTTTTAATGGCTAAATATGTACTTATTTTACCAGTTTAAATTTTACTTCTTTAGGTTGTCTTGGATTTTTTTTTGCTTCAGCGACATCTATACGTTAGTAAACAAACTGACATTAACTACTTTACAGTGATCTTTTTTGATAACGTTAAAGTCAACGGGTACAGGAGAGAATTTAAATATGCGGGAATATGCGTTCCGGAGAATTCCTCAAGTGTTACTTTAACTCTTTGTCTTTTTTACCAGATCCTACAACTATATCATATTTCTTTAATTTGTTGTAAATACAATTCACTTCTTCTAAAAATAGTATAATAAAGTAATAAACTATGGATAGTCATAATCAGTGAATTCTCGCGATCCGATATTCTCGCTTGCCCTAAAGACCCCCACCAACCAACCACACGACAAATGTCATTACATTAGTCATTTTTGTAAATTTTGTTGCAATGACAGTTTTCGGTTTTTCTAAGTGATGAACGAGTTATTCTTCAACATTCCCACAAATTCATCATTTCTCGATGTAATCTACCTTTACTGGAATACGATAAGTGTGTATTTATTCGATGCAATAATAATATTGCGCAACAACAAAAACAAAAATTTATTATCAATTTTTGACAGTTTACCGGAATCACTTTATTTTGACGAATTTCAGTATTCTTTATTGAAAACACTTTTCTTCATTTTGTCGGTTAATTTAGTATTGATTTTCATAACTTGGAGGGTGTATGGTAAACGAATCTGTGACCGCTTTATGAAACCAGGTGAGTGGCCTTAACAAAGAATTCAGGTAATAACGCACATTTGCAGCCACAAACAAGGCCATCGAGGAGTTAAAAGCAAGCGTATCGAAGCTAAAACTACCTAAGGAACACACACCTCGAATATAACACGATGGCTGATAAAATCAAAAAGTTTTTTGCAAAGAAAAAGGCTGAGGCGAAGTTTAAGTTGGCAGGACCGGGGCATCGCTTGAATGAGTCGTCCACTGCTATAGTGGGGCCCAGCAAACAGAAACCGGCTTATGTTCCACAAAGGTCACAGCCTAGTGATGCTACAAGGCAAGCAGCTGATGCAGCTTTAGCTAGGTTTCAGAATCAGAGTAGGAATCCAAATTTTAATACATCTTTGGCTGCAATTCAAGCCCAAGTGAGACGGGAGTTGGAAGCTGAGAAGAAAAATACTAGTGTGGAACCAGTGACACAATCGACGCCCGTTCCAACTAATTTGGAGGCTTCACCTCACCTTGCAGTTAAAGGTAAAAGCACTTGATTTGGTAGGAAATGTTTTTCTTCGTTGATTACAAAAATATTTGCAAAGCTATATTGCTTATTATGATAAATGTTTCATATTCCGTTTTAGGAGTTTATTTCCGATGCTCATTAATAAGTGACGAAATCCTTACCAAAGAAGAATGGAAAGTGAAAATCAAAGAATTTTTGTTTGAGCAACTAGAAGAAGAGCGAGGTTTAACAGCCTGCCTTATTATACAGTCTTGCAATTACAATAGAAATAAAGTAGATTTGTAAAAAATTAATTTTAATTAATTTGTGATAATTTTTCCGTAGGTGAAAGAATGTGTCGATGTATTAGTCCGCTATTTAGACAATATCATCGCAAATCCTCAGGAAACAAAGTTTCATAAAATTCGGTGTTCAAATCCTACATTCCGAGATAAAGTTTTGCCGGTGTTAGGGGCTACTGATTTTTTGTTGGCTGCTGGTTTCCAACAGCAAGTGTTGAATCATAACGGCACTGATGAAGAATTTTGGGTGTTTAATGAGCAAAATATCGAGGGTCTTCAAGTTTTAGAGGTTTTTCATAATTTCAGTTTCACGAAAACTTGAAAAACAATTATTTTATAGCTTCTTCGCGAATCGCTGAAATCAGAGGACAGGGTGGAATTAGAACTAGATCGTAATATCCAAGTGTTATCGCCGGCCCAGGCTGCCCAAAGGATAGACCTACCTCAGGAATTTTATGCACTAAGTCCTGAGGAAGTAAAGAGGGAGCAACAATTGAGGACTGAAGCAATGGAAAAACAGATGCAGTTAAGAACCAAAGCTATGCGTGAAAAAGAAGAACTTCGAGAAATTCGAAAGTACAAATTCGCGTTGATAAGAATTCGTTTCCCTGATGGGGTCTACTTGCAAGGAACTTTTTCAGTGTATGAGAAATTCTCAGAAGTGCTCGACTTCGTTCAAGACAATTTGGAACATTCTGGTTTACCTTTTGTTCTCTCATCGCCAACCGGCCACAAATTCGAAGAATCAGATAATGACAGTTCATTAGCACAGTTGAAGTTAGTTCCAGCGACGATTTTGACTTTTCAATGGGATTCATCAGTGGCTGATGAATTTGCGAGAGCAGGAAATACAAGTTATCTTAAACCAGAAGTCATGATGTTGATGCAACAGCTGTAGTTTTTATCTCACTTTACATTTATTACTTTACAATCTGATTATCACCTGTGCTTGTTTTATCAGATGCATGGATTAAAATATGCTGTTGATTTTTATGGAATATTTATTAATACTGTATTTCCAGATGTATGATGTATATTTTACATTAAACTATTTATTATGAAGGTTTAAAATAGCTTTCTTTCCTGCTAAGACTTATCTCCTTACTCCAAACGTAGGTACTTCTGTAGTGGAAAAGTAATAATTAACAAGAAAGCATAATTTTGTCAAAAATATGTATATTTGCTTGTAAAAAATACAAAAATGAAAAAGCCATAAAAAGGAACTTTGTGTAGCAATTTTATTTTTTATTAATGTATGAAATGGGAAGACACCTTTTTTGAACTACAACACAAACCCACCATCTATTTATCGAGTGGCGTAATTTTTATTAATGGTAATGTGCTCCAATCTTTTAGATACCAACAAGAATACAATAGATAATTACTGCATCTGTACATCATTGATTCTGAAAAACCTGTTATGCGCAAAAATTATAGTTTGGCAAAAAGTCTAGAAAACAGCTTGAAAATGTTGATCAGAATCAATGATATAAATAATAGTACGTACATTTATCTAAAAAGTTAGAACACTTCAGTCTTTTCTCTTCCTAATTAGAAGTAATTAAAATCTTCAAACAGTAGTGTACAGTGTAAAATCCGAAGTTTTAGTCCTTACCGACCCTAGATAAATAAAGAACTGAAGCAGTTTTGTTTTCATTTACTTTTAAAAGGAGTAAGCACCAAGTTTTAGATTAACTTGTAGCATGCATGAAATTTTTTGAAACTGAAATTTTTTGTTGTCTTGAAGATTTTCTTGTTTCTTGAAAAACTTGTTATTGCCTTTCTAAATTTAAAGTTTTTTTGTTAAATATGTTCATTATCTATTAATTAAAATGGAAAACATCAAAGGTTTTCACGGAAGAAAAACTTATAAAGGATGTAATCATTGGTTTTGCGTTTTTGAATTTAGAGACACTACCTAGTCGTCGAATGTTGCACAATTTACTTATAGAATACTTTTTTGTCGTAGGTAAATAAAAAAAAAAACATTTTCTAAGAGGCAATTTAAATCATTGTGAAATTTTACCTAAATACTCAATTCTTTAAAAAATACTTACCCTGATATAATTTTTGTGAAAAATATTCAGAAAAGCTGTTACTCTAGACACTACTGCAAAAAGAGTTCATTTTCCTAAGCTTGCTTTTGAATACATTAACTAATGCGCGAAAAATATTAATTTGTCCAGACTAAATATTTTTAGAATATCTAAAATTATAATCTGCTCTAGTTTTTTTGTGTTTTTATGGGCAGTTTACAGCACTGTTTTTATACGAATTTCTTTTTAAGACAGTAAAAATTCTACGATTTTGTGAAGAAACGTCTACCGTTTAGGTTGTAAAAATATGACGAATTTTACTAGCACATACTCCTTTTAAAACTAAAATGAATTTTGAGTTTTTTTCGTCCCGCTTGTGGGCAAATGATACATTATTATGTACTTAAAGCTGGAAGAAACTTACCACAGTGTTATATTCTGAAGGTAGAATGATTTATCCAACTTTTATTAACGAAATAATGACTGTGTACATGATTCAGAATAACTTAAAAACAATATTCACAAAAATTTAGTGTTCTCACAACGTTCATAAACACGAAAAATTTTGCTCACCAAATTCGAAACACCAAATCATTACACTGAACTAGTTTAATTCCAAATGAAATGAAAGAAATCCAAATCGAAAAAAATCACAGCCATTGGTTTGCAACGTTTTACCACTGAGAGTACAGAAAACTCCGCGAAAACTTAGTTTTGAACACACAAACCTGTCGAAATATGGACTTTGTGACTTTGTTGCAGCAGCACATACACACTCACAAGGAATATTTGAAGAACAACACAATCGTCTGAAAGAACTTATCTATTTTCACAACACTACTGAACATTTTATAACCTGACAGGAGAAATTATTATAGAAGACCATAGCGGGTAGTTCCTAGCCACTGATAAGTGTCTTAACACTACATCACAATGATTAACTTGTTTTTATTATGAAACAATCTTTATAAAGAGTAACTACTTGCACAGAACACTACAACACTGTAGTTATTTGTTTCAAATTTTACAGTCCTTTCACATAACAGATAAATCCTTACAGAATTTAATTCACTAATACAATAAATGACAGATACTTATGAGAAAGAACTGCAACCACTTAAACTAAATTTCACTTTCAGCACTAAATCATAGTTACAAACAAAACATTTTAAAAGTTTTTCTTCACAAAACAAATTCAGCAAGCACTTAAAAGACAAAGCATCAACACAAATCAACATCGTTGGTCACCAATTTCCTGAAAAATGTACAATTTGAATATAATTGTCAACAAAATAAACCAGTGTAGACCTGGAGAAGGATAAAAAAAGTGAGCTCTACCTCATAAAATAAGTGAAAATAATAATAATAATGATTCACTAATAAATTAGTGACTATATCGCTATAAAAATTAAATTTAAGCAGTACCACCACGTACCACGACAATAACCAGATGATCCTCTTTGATGGCTTCCTCCGATAGATTCGGACATGTACGTTTAAGTAACTCGGTCGAAAACGGACACGGAGGGAACGAGTACAACACCCCCGTAGCTTCTGTTTCCTTATTCAATAGTGAAATTACACCGGCTGCTTCCTTTTGCTTCAAATACGATACCAAATTCCTCAAAGGCCTCGTCTGCACCGTCGCATCGTCATTCGTTACTGACGCCGTTGATCCCGCCAACCCCAAGAAAATCGCATGCGAACTCGCTCCCGAGATCCTCCTCTGCACGTCCTCCAATTTGGGCTGATCCAACCGCAGTCTCTGCGTGATCCTCAATTGGTGTTTCCCGTCCTCGTCCTTCATCAACCCCTCCACGATATCCGTGTCTCCGTCAATCAAATGGAACTTGGCCGGAAATAGTGAATTCTTCAAAATGAGCGCCCCTTGCCACACCGTCGTGCATTTACGTGCCACTTCGGGCAGCGTCCTACTCGACGCGAGCAGTCCAGCTCTCCGCGACCCATTATCTGAATCCGAATCGGGGGAGCGGCGCGGTGACCGCGACCTCGACCGGTCAGCCGAACGGCGGCGCTCGTATTCGGGTCGGGTACGCCCCCACTCATCTTCGGCCGTCTCGGGATATCTGTAAGGCCCGCGGCTGCCAGCGCGGCGCTCCGAGTAGGCAGCACGCCCACGGTAACCTCGGGCATAATCATCGTAGTCGTAATCGTAGTCTAAGCGGCGGTAGTCTAGAGCGTCTTCATGACCGGGATATGGGGGCTTCGGCCGGTAGACTACTCCAGGTGTGACATCGGCGAAATCGGTTCGCAAACGTCTGTCGGGACCACCGAGTGGAGCCCCACGCATCTCTTTTACGGCAGCTTGAGCAGCGTCGATACTGTCGTACAAAATGTACGCTTGATTGTCACCTTTGACGTAATCGATCTTTTTGATAGCCCCAAATCGGTCGAATTCACGCTCGAGTTGGGGTACGGACGTCCAAGGACCTAGACCACCTACCCAAATACGCGTAGTTGGGGTTGCTTTGCCATACCCGATTTTACACTGGAATTTCCCGATATATTGACCGGATAATTCGACTTTAGCACGATGGGCCATGTCAAGAGTGTGAAAACGAACGAAAGCAAAGGCATTTCCGGTCCCCGGCGGTGGTCTTTTAATATCAATGTCTTCAACAACCCCATAACGACCGAAAATACGTCGCAATTCTTCCTCCGTTATGTTTATTTCTAGATTACCGGCGAATAAAGTACGAGTAGCTAACGGATCATCCTCGGGTTGAATGTGATGAAGATAATTTGGGAATTTGTCTTTTTTATTTTCAGTTTTTTCAAACGGTGGTCTCGGCACCGTGTGTCTCGGGGGGCCGTACCCATGACTGGGTGGTAAATGCGCCGGATGATGGATTGGAGGACGTGCTAGGTAGTCATGAGGAGCCGGCAAAGCCTCCCTTCTGTAGTCCCTATGAACCGGAACCCCCGGAGGCGGCCCATACGCCCTATCATATCTATCAACCCTCAACCGTTCCGGGGACCTTGCGTAATAATGTCGATCATATTCCGGCGTGATGGACCTTGGGCGACTCCTGTAGATATCACTCGATCTCGGTACCTCATAGACCGGCTCAACTATAGCGACTTTGTCATAAATAATAATCCTGGGTTTCCCGTGTTTGGCATCACGTGCGTCCTCTGGGTTACGGAAACACACATAGGCCACCCGTTCGTCTACGTCATGCGAGAGCCTAATGCTCAAATCGCCGTATTTCTTGTATTCCCTGTATAGCGTGTCCTTGATGACCTCGTCGCTGGCTTTAGGGTGGAGGGCGCTGACGCAGAGGACTTTATAGGGGTAGGCGCGTTCGGGGGGCCGCAGGTACTCGTCTCGGTGTGGCGAGACGTAGCGTGGCCGAGGGCTGGGGGAGCGATTGCGACTGCCACGGCGGCGGACGCGTTCAGGGGTCATCCGCTCGTCGGAGCTGTCGTCGTAGCGACCCATGCTCGAGCGAGAGCGCTTGCTGCGTGGGGGTGTGTCACGGTCGCTGCTGCGTTTCATATTCTGGATACGGACTGTTATTTTGTCTCGGCTGGAGGCGAGCATAAACACAAACGATTAACGGACACGGTGGATGACACGGCACTCCTAGAATACAACAAGCACACTTACAGGGTCAAACACTGAGATATAGGAAAACATACTTTTGGGAAACGCACAGCACTGATATTTATCACCATTTACTGGGGGCGAGTGAAATGAAGAGATTTTCCAGATGGGGTCATCACAAAAATGTAAGCGGTGAAGAACGACACAATATGGCGGATAGAAGCGGATGTGACAAAACAGGGTGGTGATGCGCAGGCGTTGGATGTTAGTTCGAAAATGTCGAAATCCGATAATACGAAATAAATTATTATAAACTATTATAGTATTTAAATAATGTTATATGATTTCAATTCTACTTTCCCAGGCTAAAATAAAGTTTTAATAACTTTACAATCTATATTCGATAGTGTCTGATTCAAGCAAAAAACATCATGCTGTATAACTGGTTGCCAACAATTCACAAAGCATTTTATTGTTTTGTCTTTATATGTACACCCGGGGAAAAAACTATTCACCAGTCTAACTTGGCGCTCACGCTGCGCTTTGTTGCAATAGTGTTTCAAACTAACTAGTTGAGGAGCAGGTAGAATATGTTGAAAAACCCTTATTTAGGAAGTTGGTCTGGACTGGAGGACACACGTTTCTTGAAAACTGTGTTATGGAAAATTGCTTCAATGAGTATGTCCCCGGATTGAGTTTACAAGAGGAATTTTTTTTATCTTTGATTATACGCCAAAACTGCAAAGGAAAAACATTTCTTGCAATATCTGAAACGAGCAAATCTGTAATTAAAACTTTATTATTCTAACTTAATAGAAAAAAAGTTCATTTTTCTCTTGATTTTGGACTTATTTTTTGTGAATTATTTTTCTCAGCGTTTAAAATCCCATCACATTGGCGGTTTAACTTTTTTAATAACATATGACTGCCAAATGAGTTTACGCAAGTTAAATAACAAAAATGTTCAAGAAAAATATAATTTTAATAAATGGCAATTCTAAAAAACAGCTTTAAGATAAAAAATACAAAGTTACTTTTAACAAAAACAATTATTATTCAATTAACTAATTAATTTTCAAAGTGACATCGTTGTCAAAAAATTAAATCGCCAATGTAATGAGATTTAAAAAGCAGAGAAAAATTATTATTATTATATATCGAGCGATCAAGATAATTTTTAATCGAGTCCAAAAACGTATGTCTGTAAAATGTCAAGTCGAAAGGTAAAATGGCATTAAAAAGGTGATGATTATAATAATCAAATTTATAATTTACCTTTAAAAAGAACGGTCCTACTCATATTATTATACCTCGGCGACTAATTCCAGCCCATTTTATTGCCGTTTTAACTTTCGACTTGTCATTTTATTTGAAGTTTCACGTGCAGTTAATTCAAAAACAGACATACGTCCTTGGATGCAAAGATGATTCGATTACAAATTATCTTGATCGCTCGATATTTATATTATATTATTAAAAATTAACTTTTCTTTTCACTGAATCAGAATAATGAAGTTCTAAGTACAGATTTGCTCGTTTCAGGTAAAGCAGAGCAGTGTTGGCATAAAATTAAAAAAAAAATTTTTCTTCTTGTAAAATTAAATTTACCACTGTTTTTTTTGCTTTGTTTAAAGGTAAAAAAGATAAATAGAAAAAACGAAAGAAACTAGTTATTTATTAATAAAATTAAATGTAAATCACAAAAATACAATGTTCTAATAATTAATGTAGTAGTCTTCGGCGTCAATGCATTCCTGCAATTTGCGTGGCATGGAATTGACTAAGATTTCACACAAATTTGTTCGCCTTATTTGCTCCTAAACTTCATTTACATTATCTGTCAATTCATGAAGATTACGGGGTCGCACCCCATTATTACTGTTAAAAATATTTTCATGCGATGATTAATTAATAATTTGTCGCAATATTTATTTAACTTGCTTAATCATTATTAAACAGCAATTGCTTTCATGTTCATCATTCTTGCGTAAACTCATTTGGCAAAGTCACATCGTTATTAAAAAAGTAAAACCGCCAATGTGATAGGATTTAAAACGCTGAGAAAAATAATTCACAAAAAATAAGTCCAAAATCAAGAGAAAAATGAACTTTTTTTCTATTAAGTTAGAATAACAAAGTTTTAATTACAGATTTGTTCGTTTCAGATAAAGCAAGAAATGTTTTTCCTTTGCAATTTCCTGTAAACTCAATCCTGGGACAAACTCATTGAAGCAATTTTCCATGATACTATTTTCAAAAAACGTGTGTCCTCCAGTCCAGACCAACTTCCTAAATAAGGGTTTTTCAACATTTTATACCTGCTCCTCAACTAGTTAGTTTGAAACACTATTGCAACAAAGCGCAGCGTGAGCGCCAAGTTAGACTGGTGAATAGTTTTTTCCCCAGGTGTACATACAAGGTGATTCACGAGGAATACGGGATATTAGACGTGACGTCACAGACGTGACTGTACTGAAGCTAAACATACAGTATTGCCAGTTGTGATACTAGAGTACCAAATTGATACTAGATTTTTTTTACTAGATTTTTATATTTACTTGTAATAATTTATATTCTCAGCCAAATACACATTATGTGAATGTTAATATATTTTATTTTGTTTTGGTACGACCTATCCACTCCTGTCGTTTGCAACATTCTGGAAATGCTGTAAACATATTTTTGACGTACACAGAAAGTGAGGTTAGAACAGATTAAATTACAGAAATGTTGACTACAATTGTTAAAACCATTAAGAAACGACACAATTTTTCATAGCAACTATTTCCTTAGAAACAATCTCCCAACACGTCCAGGATTCAAGAAATAAACTTTTATTTGTTTAGCTTCAAAGGTACAGTCACGTACCTTGCTGACGTTACACTAATAGCGCGTATAGGGACTATTAGACGTGACGTCACAGACGCGACTGTACTGCAGCTAAACATACAGTGTTGCCAGTTGTGACACTAGAGTACCAAATTAATACTAGATTTTTTTTTACTAGATATTTATATTTACTTGTAAGACTCTGTTACTTTCCAGAAGCGATTGAGAAACATAAAATGTCCGCACTCAGATATGTTTCATATGTAATGTTTCTATAAAAACATATCAGGGACATATATTTAACGTGTACTGTGCATCGCAGATATAATTCAGATACATCACTAATCACTATAATATTTACATACTATAGACGTATTAAAATTACATTACTAAAATGTTAATTTTTTTTTACTTACCTTTGATTATATCAAATGTACATACTTACTACAGTTTCACGAATGGTAAATATCACAGRACGTAAATATTGCAACTGCATGAGGTGAGAATGATAAAGTGATTAGTCAGTCAATTACAAAGAATAAACTTACAATATATTTTTTGGTTTAAAAATATAAAATATAAAAATAAATTGTGCTTCTATAAAATAAACGAATTTTAAATAAGGTGAAGTGGGGTAAATGCGATGTAGTTTTCGAATAGTGTAACTTTGACGCTCTACCTAGTTTCAACAAATGAGCTGAAAATTGGTACAATTTGCACAGAGTCCTTAGCATTCTTGACAAGTACGGCAATGATGTTAAAAAGTCTGTACACATAAGCGTTGGGGCAGTATAATTTTTTTTTTAAAACGATGTCACTATGTCACATTTACCCCGTAAAATGGGGCAAATGTGACAGCGGCTTGGCATTTCTCTTAGATGTTAGATGAGGTATGGGGCTAATGTGAAAGTACAACAAAAAAGCTACATTTTGATATATAATTTATAACTGTTTTGTAGAACCTTACAAATTTTAAATGCAGACAAATTAAAAAAAATATAAAATCCTTATTTAAGGATTATACTCATTGAAACAAAAATCAAATTTGTGGATATCGCGTCTAATATCTTTTGGGTCCGGCAAAATTTTAATTACGTCCTGTTCTGATACAGTGTCCGAATCCTCAAATTTGTGCCAAACAAACTTGTTGTTTTCGTTTTTCAAAAATTTGATTATCCAATCGTCACCACACTTTTCTTGGACTTGTCCTACAAAATGCTTCGGCTGTTTTTTGTTACAATATCTCACGATAACCCATTTGCCTTTCGCGATAAAGGGGGGTGCGATAGGAAATTGAGAAAAAGCTTTCTTTGGTATTTTTCGTCCAAAATTTTGACAAAATTTTAACCCTTTCACACGGCTATACAATGTAACATAAGGTATTTTGTACTGTTTATGTGCTCCATAAACTGTAGCTCTTTCCGCCTCAACCTCTTCTATTGCTTTTTAAAGATCGGCTTGGCTATAGTTTGGGTTGTCAGTAGTTTTTCGTACATAATTCCGCACCATGTCTAAAAGGGGTAAATGTGATATAGTTTATATTACATTTTCCCCAGGGGAACTCTACGTCGGGGTAAATGAGACAGTTTAATAAAAGAAATAGAAGATGATGTTTTATGGAAATCATATTATGTCTGGTAGAAAGACATGTTATTAAAGAAAATAAGCGACAAGTTTCAAAATTACCTTATTTAAATTGCTATCGTTATGATTTTTCAAAAAGCTGCATGCGCCATCGAAATTTTACTTAAAATGTGGACTGACCATATAAAACTGGATAAAAAATTTCAGACGCCTAAGAAGTGACCTTTTTTGGGTAAAATTTGATGCTAACACTACTTAGACTACTTAACGGTAGGTGAAGCTAACAACACTCGTCGTTGCTAATTAGTTCAAGCCGCTGTCACAATTACCCCGTTATCACATTTACCCCACTGCACCTTAACAAAAAACAAATAAATATATGAAAAAAAAATGAAAAAACAAAAAATATCATGAATATAAAAAACTAAACGAATCTTATAACAAAAAACAAAATTGTAGGAAGTGCGTAGGTCAGTATAAAAACTAGAATTAAATTTTTTGGGAGGAAATTACTTTTTATTTATTTTTTTTGGCTTTGTTTGTAAATGAAAAATTACCAAAAAATTAGAGAATGTACCTTACTAATGCCCAGGTAAGTGTGAAAAAATTCAACAATTTTATTTAATTAGAAGTGGGGATTTTCTTTTTGGGCGTAACGGATGCCCCACCCGGTACTCTTCATTTTCGATAAAAGCAAAGCATTTCCAACTTTTTAATGTAATGTGTGACTTTATATCAAATTTTGACATTTTGGTATTGGACGATTCTTGGGCGATTAATTGAAAATATTTAATAAAAGAGTTTACTTCAGACTTCAAACGTAA